TCGCCAGCATTGGCGGCTGGAGACGGAAGGTTTCTTCGCCTGGCCTGGAGTTGGAGGCGGTGGATCTGGGCATCAGTATCCTCGAAGTAATTTAATTTCAAGCAGGGGACAAGAAGAGGGAGGAGGCCAATATTGCAATTGGAGCCGCCTGTTCCGAACTGACAGGCTTCGCCGTGGACCTCCTTCACGGAGAACATAGCCGCCGCCCTGTGGCCATGGCGGAAGTGGGAGAAAGGCGGGTGATCGCAGCCATCCCGGACTCCTCCCTGCTGTACTGTCGTCTTGAGAAGCGGAGCCCCGAGCCCCCGCACGGTCTGGAGAGCCGGTTTAGGGGTTTAGGGTTTAGGGTTTAGGGGTTTAGGGTTTAGGGTTTAGGGTTTAGGGTTTAGGGTTTAGGGTTTAGGGTGCGGAGGAGGTCTTGGCGCTGCTCGTCCACACGCATGGCCTGGGCACTCAGATCCTACTGCGCCACAAAGTAATTAACTGATGCACCCACTACCACCCACTTCAACGTTCGTGCAGGCTGAATAAGTAGTAATTAGTGCTGAAGCCTTTCAGGGCTCCTTGTTAATTATGGATAACAAACCCTTTTCCACATGTTACGGCTCCTGTACTAGCTCTTGTTTTTCGCGAGATGCCTGGGAACCTGGTAGACTTGCCCCGATGTCCCTACAAGCCCAAATTCTCAGATTCTCGCTGAAGACCCCAGATGACCAGATTGGAGAATTAAGTAGCACATTCCGCCAAGCATTTGTATAAATTGTGAAGTCAATACCCCATCTGTAATCTGGCCACAAGCCCTTTTCCTTAAGCCGCAATATTGGGTTCCAGACTGTTCGCCTCACCGGTCCCCGCGCGAAGGAGCAGGAAGCACCCCCCTTTCAAACCTTATTGGCCTTTATAAAATCTAAAATTGTTCAAACCTTGGACTGTAAACTAAACCATGTAAAAACCATGTAAACCTTTCAAGCCGAAACCCTAAACGTTAAGACGTACAGACCCAGGTCCTTTCAAACTCCTGACCCCGGAAAGTTTTAGTTTATCAATCCCTAACCCCCCAGGTACCTACTATATAGGGTACTAGAGCCCCTAAGGCCCTATATAGTAGGTACCTGGGGGATAGGGAATGGCAGCTTCAATCCTCAACTTCGTGTTCAAGCCTTGAGCCTGAAGCTGAAGCTTTCCCTAAGGCTCTAAGGACTCATGTTTTAAGGCTTTTGGGCCCAAAGACCATACTATATGAGGCTTTTCGGCTATTTTGAGCCTCAGGGTTTTACTCCGAAGTTTGTGACAGTTTATCATAGAGTCGTAAACTCTCGGAATAATTGGATTTTGAGCAGAATTAACTGCGGACTTGCGATACAGATACCTGCAGGGGATATCATCTAATACAGACCTGTATCCTAGCAGAATTTGAGCCGTAAAGCTTGCCTTTCGTACTTTATAAAGTTCAGCCACCGCCAGCCTTAAACCGTATACACCCCAACCAGCATAGCAAGGCTCACAGCCACGCCGCACGTGGCTTTGCCCCTCCGTCCGAAATGGTGTCAGTTTGCCGAGGGAGCAACAGGAAGATGATTTTCGATTAAGATGTGTTTGCCTGCGGTGTCAGCCATAGCCATGCTGATAAACATGCGGTTGCCAACAGCAGCAGGAAAGAGTTACAAATATGCACTGCCAAATACCACCGGCTAGTACAGCCTCTGACAGCAAGGATCGGGAGACTGTTCTATCAACAAGATTAGTTAATCGCAGCATGTTATGATCGTTATCAAATTTCAGCAAAGCCAAGGACGGAGCTCCACAATTCCTACCTCACAATAAGCTGTTGTCAACCCAAGCCCTCTGGGTGCCCACATGCTCTACTACATGCTCAGCCCTTGTAGGAACCGTTTTAAGGCCTAAGCGTGGCCTGAATATGAGCCTATAACACCCTGCAATAATCAACCCATATGCAACTACAGCAAAACCCTTATAGTAACCCTGAAAGGAACTCTCCAAGGAATCCTTGCAGGAACCCGTATAGATGAACCCTTAAAGGAACACCCAAAAAAACTTTTAACAAGGTGCCCACCAAGGAACCCCATGACCATGGGACCTTTGGAAAAGCACCAAATCCGAGGCTATGGGAGCTCGATTTCTCACGGGGGGCCAAGCGCAGGACGAGCCAGCTGCATGCCGCTCGCTGGGGATGAAAAACCGGATCTTCTGGAGGTCTTCAGGTTTATAACCCTAAACCCTAAAGGGTCCAAAGTAGGGTAGTTTAGTATGTTGGGGAGCACATGAAGCCCAGGCCCCCTAAACCCTACACCCGAAGCCAAAACGTCACTAAGCCCCTAACATGGGACCCTAAACCCGGTTAGGTGCTTGCAATGTTCGGAGATTTCTGGAAGTGAGACTCTTGGAGTTTTAGGGGGTGTAAACTTCGCGTTGCCCTTAGCATCAAAATAGCCCAAACGCCTCATATAATAGGGTCTTTGGGTCCAAAAGTCTTAAAATATGAGTCCTTTGAGGGTAAGGGTTAGAATTTAACGTTTAAGGTGGTATCCGCAGTGGAAGTACGTACACCATTTCCCCAGTTTGCGCTTGTCGGTTCAGCGGGGTGTTTTTTTTCCCATCCTTCGACTCTTTGGCTTGCTATCGTGCTGGCCGAATGGCACCTGAAACAATCCGAGGCAAAAGTCTCTGGGATTCTGGGTTAAGAGGTTTGGCAGTAAACTCAAGCCGAAAGCCTTAAAGAATCAATCTTACGACCCCTTGGTTTGGGTTTAGGGTTCAGGGTCTAAGAAACCCCAAACTCTAAGCCCTCAACCCCATAAAGTCTAAGCTTTAAGCACCCGTTGGGGGCTGGAGGGACATGCTCCAAGCAGTGGGAGCTCCTCATCTCGCCACAAAATGCCGCAGACAAGGGACGTAACAAACTCCATCAAACTCAACAACCTTGCGTACACTATACCAACCCACAAACTTCAAGTCTTAGGTTCGGCTGCACGTCTGAAACATGTCCCCAAACAAAGTACAGCCCCTTCAACTGCAAATCTCAAGCCTGACTTTGCCCTCCTAAAGCCCCCCTACAGCTCTTCAGCACACAGCCGAAACCCCGAAACCTTGAGCCCCAAACCCCGGTAAAAAAACTCAGAACCCCCACCCTCCACCCATCTGCCTGAGAAAAAAAGCGTGAAATCCAATAGTAAGTAGTACTGTCCCTTGATTCACCCGCCTGAGAAAAGCATGACATCAATTAGCAATATGGTCCCTTGCTAGCCCTTGTTACCTCCTATCTTCAAAACCATAAACCCTAAACCTACTCTGTTATGCCCCATCACTTTGTTCTAAGAGATAAGACCCTTTGTCAAGCTTGGTGTTGTAGCATTTGCAAGGTTTAGGGTAAGGTCTGAGTCCAATTCAAAACGAAAGCCCTAACGAGTAAGTAGCCCCGAGGACGAATATCCCAAGACCCACCCTTTCCGATATCTGAGCGCTGCATGGCACGCAAGTAATCCCCAAGACGCCAAGCCCTAAGTAGCCAAATTTCTGTAGCTCCAAACCCTAAACCTTTAAACCCGTATGTCATGTACTAACCCTAAACCCTAAACCCTAAACCTAAGATGGCCATCCTTGGTGGCGCGTGCAGCAGACGTGAAGCTTGTCAATATGGGCTTCGGCGGCGACTCTCCGAATTGCAGCAGTTTTCTTCGCAAGGTTTGGGGGTTTTACCGGTTTAGGGTTTAGGGTTTAGGGTTTAGGGCCCCCTTTCATGGAGCCCTTATGGTCTTTAATAGTGGGCAGTTAGGGTATATTAGAGGGTAGTTGGGGGGTCTAGGTAGGGTTTAGGGGTTCAGGGTTTACGGTTTCGGAGAGTGTTTGCTCACAACTTAAGAGAGCGTGTGGCGATATGCTGAAGGTGGTACTCCACCCGTTTCTAGATGGGAGCTTCAGGAAGGGACCCCCGGCTTAGGGCTCCCAGTATACAAGCATACCAGGTTGTTCAGTGGTCTATGGCCTATGGTTTATGTGGTTAATGTAGTTCTTGTTTCTGGTTCCCATTATAATAACTAACCCAGAAGAGTGTCTACTTTTGCCCAGTGGGTTCTTCAACAGCCTAGGTTCAGGTTTGGGGTTGTTTTTAGTACCTACAATAGAGGTCTATAGTCGGTATATAGAGCCTACTTTGGGCTATTCGGAGCCTCAGGGTAAGCGTTCGCAACCTGCTCCTGCCATGCCTGCATGCGTTACCGTAAGCTGCAGAATCCCCGTCCAAAATTCGGGACCCAAGTAGGGAGCTTAAAGGGCACGATCCAGAGTTGAAGGCACACAGCAAGGGGAGCCGCAACCTTGATTTCAACACTCCGAATTCCGACTGCCTTACATTGCTAAATCCGAAACCCTAAACCCCAAA